TTTGACAATAAATCGGGACTAAAATGGATGTTTATAACTGTTTTGCCTCTGTGTAGCGGTCGTATTCAAGTCGGGGGCCCTGTCCGATTGAGATCAAACCCAGTTCCTATAATTGGGTCAAAGGTCGCTTGTGGCTCTACGACGTAGAGGAAGATCGTCATCAGAACCCGCAGTTCATTCTGCAGCCGGTTAGGTAAGTAAACGTCAATTTTGAGGGAGGCATAAGAAAATCCATTGCAGCAGAGGGCGTACAAGTGCAAACAAGAGGATTTTGGATTTGGAAAAAGCAGCTACTGTTTTCTAGTGTGTAAATATTTCGAATCTCGGAAATCATGCATTGAATTTTCATGAAGAAGAAACGAATTTCTTTCGGGAGTCTGCAGCACTGGGGTAAACGAATATCCCAGGGAGGAAATTGGTCTCTGAATGGCATACATTGCGTGACCGATCTCATGAAATGTTGGCCAAATTCTGGAATGCGTTTCCGTTTAGGAAGGATTACTTGTTAGAGTGATTATCATGCAGCATAATCCTATAACATTTCGGACTTGCCAGGATGTCGGCTTTTCAATGCACTTCTTTTTGACCTTCTGCAGAAACCACAGTCGGTAAAAAATGATTACTCAGATAGGTTCCATTTTTCCTACTGATTTTTGATGGTCTCATAAGTTCAAACACATTTTATAGAGAACATGCACAGACATATGTTTCGATTTGCTCAGTTTGTAGAAAATCACATTGTCTTTATATTTTCTGCCCGAAAAAATGTATATTTTCGTTTTAGAAAGTTCCCAAATTCCCGAATAATTTCCAGCCTGATCTGCCCTTGCATCAGTATTTAGCAAGGGGCATACCTTCCGCGTAAGGAAAACCATATATTCCTCTATGCCTTTAAGAAGATGCCGCATAGATTTCATTAAATTTTGCAATGGACCTGTACTGTGTTTTATATTTCATGAGGAGCATTGGTAAACGGACATGTGCGATCCTATATGCATGGAAATTGCATGGTTTTAAAATCTCATGATTAGAAACTTTTTAAAACCTAAATACACACTTTATTCGGGCATAAAATATGAAGAAAATGTTATTTTTTACTAAAGGAGTAAAAGATAGCATATTTTTCTGTATGTTTTCTATAAAATATATTTGAATTTATAAGATCATCAGAAATCAATAGGAACAATGTACGCCACTTACGTAATCATCTTTTATACTGAGCGTGGTTTCTGCAGATGGTCAAAAAAGTGCAATCGAAATCCGACATCTTGGCAAATCCGAAATGTTATAGGGTTATGCAGCATAATAATCAGTATAACAACCTCACTTAAGTAATCCTTCCTAATCGGAAACGCATTCCAGAATTTGGCCAACATTTAATGAGATCGATCAGGCACGGTAAAAGAAATTCAGTAGATATAACCTCAAACCCCGGACCCAGATGAAGACCGATGACGGCCAGTTAAAGAGATGATAATCTCCCCAGACAGTGTAATAGTGGGCATGTTGGCAGGAGAGGGACCGATAGACGTTACAGCTGAGCGGCTCGGAATGAAGGAGCTAGCTGAATCCGTTTGATAGCGGCAATTTTATTAAAAAAATAACCAAAAGAACACTTTTGACGACTTAACGAATTAGGCATGCAGAGTTATGCATTTGAGGGGCCAGCCATCAGAAAGTGCAAACTTCTGGTCAAGTTTTCGGACATCCGTCTTTCAAATGTCTTGTCTCCGATATCGTTTGACATGGTATTGCATTTTGGTTTGCTGATGAGTGCGAACAGACCGAAACGACGGTTCCGGACTTTTCTCTTTAGGCTTCTCATGCACTGTCCCACCCCTCGGCAAACACTGACGGTTGTGCGCTATTCGTTTCGAGCAGGCCGCATGCTCAGAAGTTTACAAGCTGAGAGCATGCTCGCGACCAGATCCAACAGAGGCTTTAGGAACTTAATATTATGGAGACATCAAAGAACACGATAAGTGACTGAGCAGAAAACTGCCCAACTCTGCTTCATGCGGTCCGCTTTTAAAATGTATCTTCCGGAGCAATATCTAACAGATGCGCAGGCCCTGATTAAATAATTAGGGCACCCTTTTCAGATTTATACTCAATGACTTCGAAAAGTGGACAAGTGATGTGAAACAGGATGTAAAGCCTAGTCTAGACAGAGAATGCGCAGACAACTTCGTAAGGATAATCGCTAAAATAAATCGGTCGTATTTGTAATATACAGTGAGTGACCGATCTCAGGAATTGTTGGCCGAAATTCTAAAATGCCTTTTCGATTTCGAAAGATTACTTAGTCGGAGATATAGTACTGATTTTCTAGCGACATAATCGAGTAATAGTTCAAACTCGCCAGGATGTCGGCTTTTGAATGCACTCTTTTCGCTCTCCTCCAGGAGCCACACTCAGTAAAAAATGACAACTTATTTAGCATGAATTTTCCGCACTGATTTTTGATGATCATCTAAATTCAAATAGATTTTATAGAAAGCATGCACAAAATATACTTTCTCCTACTCATTCGGTAGCAAATAAGGTCAATTTTATATTTTATACTTGAAGACGGGGTATATTAAAGTTTTAAAAAGTTCCCAATGATACAATTTTTAAGACTGTGCAATGTACATTCATGCAGCATCGTACCTGTCCGTTTACCAATGCTTCTCATAAAATGTACAGCATAATCCGCACTCATTGTAAAATTTCCCGTTCTCTAAATGATGTCTTCTTAGAGGCATAGAGGAATAAATTATTTGCCTTACGCAAAAAGCATATGCCTTGCCGACTGAAATCGCTAGACGCTAATGCAACGACTGATCTGGCCTAAAATTATTTGGGAATTGGAAAACGTTTTTAAAACCTAAATATACCCTGTTTTCAAGTATAAAATATAAAGTCGACGGAAGTTGCCATCAAATGGCAGAAGAAAGCCAATTTTGTACATGTTTTCTATGGAATATATTTGAATTTATATGGCCATCGAAAATCATTGCGAAAATGCATGATACCTAAGTAGTCATTTTTTACTGAGTGTGGTTCCTGTAGGATATCGAAAAGAAGTGCATTCAAAATCCGAAATCTTGGCGAGTCCCAACCTTTACTGGATTATGCCGCTAGATAATCAATATTACAACCCCGAATAAGTAATCCTTCGAAATCGAAAACGCACTTGAGAATTTTGGCCAACATTTCATGAGTTCGGTCACTCACTGTACAGTAGCAACCAATCAATGAAAAGAGTATTTTACTCTGTACCGGGACAATGTGAACGTGCTTACATTAAATTAGTTATTTGTAGAGGGTTTGCCAGATGTGGTGTCGCATCGCTATTCCTCTCCAGTTAGTGGACTTCTTTTTAATAAGTTTTATGTCGCACCTAGAACTTATTGTTTCACAGTCCTTTCTTTCATAAAGTCAAGCCTCGACCCAACACCAGAATGACATGAACTTTGTGCCATTGCGAAAAAAAGACAATGAAAAATAAATCCTCTCGTAATAAATCAAATACGGCATGTCAGGCGAGAAGTGTTAATGTCTAAAACCATTTTTTCTTAATAAATTACGCAATGTGTCTCATCGTTGAAATGGCATCTTTGAGTAATTGCAAAATATCTCTAAATGTGGGCATTGTGGATTTCACGGTTGGAGCAGTATAATGACTACTTTCAACCACACATTATTCTATGTAAATGATGATATGGGGAGATGGTGCAGTATTATCCTGATAAATCACTGTTTCTTTTTCTGCAACTTGTAAAGTAACTCTTGCCTTCCTGTTTCAAGGCATGACATGGGGAACTCAAGGCTGAGGGAAGTATTGATATTTGGTCATTTTAATGTTTTTTAAAGTTTACCAGTACAAATAACATGACGTTAAAATATGTTTCACCGTGAAAGCTAACGCTCCTAATTATCGCGATTTACTAAATACGATATGGCTTCATGAAAATCCCAAAGAGTTCTCGTTACTTTAACCAAATCCGTGCAGAAAAATTACAACAACAAAGTACGCAAAGAAATCATTTGGTAAAGTCTCTGATCAAAATCCAAAAGATTTTTTCTCCACACAGTCGTGCCCCCTTTGTTTTGATCTCCTCTTTGCTCACTCTAGTCTTCTATTTATTTATTCTTGGGCATCTTACTCCTCTTCTTCCCCATCGTTTTTTGTCTTCTTGAGCTTTTTCGGCCCCAGCATCTGCCACCACCGCCCCAAACCCTCCTCCGCCTCCCACCACCACCACCCGCACCGCCATCTTTGTTGTCGACCTCCGGCTCTTCTTCTTTTCTACCGTCCAAAACTAGTTCAAAAAATTGGCCAAACCTAAATGTCATTTTTAAGGACTCTTGACATGGTTGGTCACCCTAAAAGTCCACCGTTCATACTAGATGTCACGCCTTCAATACACTGCCTAAATCATCACAAGCAAGTACTTTGAGGAAGGGTATTATCAATGTATACTTAAGACAGTGACATTTCGGTCGCCGTGTTTCCGCAATTTAAAAAAGTTCAGTCCGCAAAGGCTGTGCATTAGCTAGATCCCCGATCACATTCATTAAACGCCAAAAACCT